GTAATCATATATAGTTTAATGATATACATTATATATGAAAAATTAAAGTGAATTAAATTTAACTGTTATAAGAAAATTAACATTGACTTGATAAGTAAATTCTATTTTAATGAGAACTTAACTGTTAAGGTTATAATATATTTTATATATAGTTTATGATATTATATTATATATGAAAAATTAAGTTAATTAAATTTAAACTGTTATAAGAAAATTTAAATTGATTGATAAGTAAATTTATTTTAATGAGAACTTAACTGTTAAGTTATAATAATATTTTATTATTATAAATATACTATTTCCTTAACAAGTTATTTAGTAATTAAATTTTCTTGTTTTATTATGTCATAAAATGTTCTTTTTTATTTTATTTAATTTTGTGGAGGAAGTTGAGATATAATCCACTTAAAGATATCTCACATGTCTCATCTCATTAAGGATACAATATAGCATCTAAAAATATATCTCTCTCCTCTCTTTTCGTTTTTATCTTCATTTAGCGACAAACATATGAGGACGAGTTGATTAATCTTGTAAAACTTAGGGATGAAAAAAATATTTTTCCTTTATTTATTTATATTTTGTGATATATCTCACTTCACTAATTTAAAACAGCTAATTTTATCAAATATACCCTAAATTAAGATTTAAATTTTATATTTATTTTTAAAATTAATATTTTATTTTCAATTTTAAATATAAAATTCAAATTTTCATATTTTTCAACTTAATTATTAAAATTAAACCATCTAAAATAAGTTTTGATAGCAATTAAAATAAACAGAACTATTAGCTAAATTAGATTCAATTATAGTGAATTTGAAAAATTTAAATGCTTGTATCTCATAAAAATGTAAAAATAGAAATATATAATTAAATCAACTCGAGATAAAGGTTTAATTGCAACTTTAACCATACCTATATATATACAAATTAAACATACTAAAATACTTCAATAAATCTTAAATATACAATTATATTCTACAATATTACATATTACTATTACTCCAATGATTTAGAAATTTCCCTTACATGGTCGATATTTTCAAATTACAAAATCTGTTAAAAAAAACACTTCCGACAATTCATGCAAACTCCAACACGCTCAATTCTCATCGATACTCAATAATCAACATCATAGTCTCATCAAATGTGACTAAAGCATTCAAACTCATATTCATTTCGAAAACTAAAAGTATACTTAATATACCATTACATGCAAATAATTCTCAAGTCAATTCTATCATAAACATAAAATTGTGGTTCAAGATACTTAATAAAAAATCTCATCATATATAAAAAATACTCCAGGGTTTTTAATTACATTTACATGCTTTGCTAGACAAAATAATAATAAAAAAAAGAACCCTTCAAAAGAAATAAAGACTACCCAAAAAAATAGCATTGACCCTCTGATGAGTGATACTTACTATTGTCCAAAATCTGCTACTGACAACAGCCTGCGTGAGAAGTCAATGCGCTAAACATAAAATTTAGTGTTGCTTCATATTCTAAAATCGGGACATTTACACACAAGCATAATCAAACATTAATATTCTCATGTTGAGTTCAAGAAAATCAACTCATACATATATTCAACATTTATTTACCGGTCATAATATTAATGCATATTTTTATCCAAAGATATTCAATTCAAGGCATGAGCTATTCAATAATATATTTTCATAGAAAATCATACTCAAGCATTTTTAAACATATCATACTATTAAATCTCAATTTCATGTCATCACCCCACAATTTAGACAATAAATATATTTCAAGCCATACTTAGCATTTTTAAGTACTTATAAAAATATTTATTAATTTTAGGCCTTAAACACACTTAGAAGGATCAAATGACAAATATAGGAACATAAGCTTATAACTTAATCATATGATCCGAATACCGAGTTAAAAGCTTGAAAGTATCAGAGGAGCTCATCAGCTCAACATAATGTAGGGGGCCAAAATCTAATCACATCCGGAGAATATATATACATAACATAGCAATATTGCAGAACATATATGACATGTCATATCCTTATACAGCTAATGGCATCAACAAAGAATACTAAATGCTATAAAAATGAAGTTTCATTATTTAATTATTATCACACATCATTTAATTTCTTATATTTAATTTTCCATAATAAAATCATATCTCATGATATTTCATAAAAAAATCATATACTTATCAAATTATTTTCAATTCATTTCACATGTTTTATTTATTCTCATAAATAAGCATACTTAATTACATACAGTTATTTATCATAATTAACATTTTCTCCATCTCATCTATGTAGGTATAATTTGACTTTCATGTGGACTAAAAAAAAGATTAATATAGTTAAACTATATTTTTTGTTTAGTTTTTTTCTAAATTATTATTCTTCTAATATTAAATGATTAATAATTCATCATGTTTTGAGAATATAAATATACATTACATAGAGGTATGCTAAGAAACTAAACAATAAATGATCTTTCAAAAAGGAAATAGGACTATATTTTGGGATAAATGAAAACGAAATATGAGCCTATATATATGAGATAGAGGAAGTACCATTCAATAATTAATAATTCATTTAAATCATAATTAATACCATAGACACAATTCATAGCATACTTAATTTATATTCATAACTAATGTGCCATATATATTCTTTAATTACTATTTTTAATTGAAAAAATTCACATATTAATTCAATTCACCACATAAATAATTCAAAATACCATAATCAACATTATTGACATAATTATTATTTAGTTTGACCCATTTGAGTCCAATTAAATCCTAAGACCTAAAGAATTAATTTTCTACAATTTAGTCCTTTAATTATACTTAATTTACCTAATCAATTTCTCTACCCTATTCAATTCACAATGAATTCATTTAAGTACCCAATTAAATTTAAATATTTCAATTAAGCACTTAGAAAATAATTCTAAAAAAATAATCTACAAATAACCAATGTTAGTTAACTCTTACAACAAATAATTCTAAAAAATAATAAAAAAATCAATTAAAATAATGAGAAAATTGATATATATATGATTTAATTTTGTTGTTGTACTTCCAATAGTAAAACATAAGACTTTTTTCCTTATTGATTAATTACTTCTTAATCTAACATGTATTATTTAGCTTGAGTTTTAATTATTTTTATTTTTCCACCTTATTTCAAAAATAAAAATTTATTTTTCATTCCATTTCAATAATTTTTTATAATATTTATTCATTTTATTTACATACATATTATAATATTTTTATAGTTAAAATATAATTAAATAGAAAGCATATAATATATTTATCTTTTTTTCTTAATACTGATCAACCATATTTAAAATAAAAATAAAAATGAATAATTATAATGAGTACTAACGTGCAATGCACATCCTTAAATACTAGTACTTTTAAAAACTCCCAATCAATGTAAGATTCTAGCAAAACTAATAAATATAAATCAATTAATACATTAAAGAGAAGTAAACTTACATAACAAAAATAAATTAGGCACACATCAATAATTATAATTATTTTTATTCACAGTGAATTCAATGAGCTGAAATATCGTGATGGGTTAAATAATGGGGATCACTCTTCTCTTGGTTTATCAAATTATAGTCGAAAAGACTGAAATTTAAAATTTCTCAACTCGGTTACACCTAGTTGGCACATAATTATTTTCTTTATTATAGAAATTTATTAAAAAGCACAAGTCATACCTATGCATTCGTGCAAAGAGAAACAAAATAAAGGGCCAAGACCTTGTTTATTCGAGGCAAAGTCAATTCAACCCCTATTACAACAAGAAGTTAAATTTGAAAGAGAAAATCCAAGAGAAGCACCTCCCTTGGAAAATCCTTTAGCTTGGCAAGCCTGCTCACAATTTGGAAAATTTGGATATAACCCTAGACATGAAAATTGTATATTTAAAGCAGTTGGTTCTGCCACAAAGTCATTAATATAAACAATATAAAAAATGCTAAATACAAATCCTCAATATAATTAAATATAAAATTTTTTTGCTCTATTAAATTTACTAAATAATTGAAATATCTGATTGTGGTTTTAATTAATGTTTTTTAATAAATCCAACTATATAATTTATTTTTATTATCATTTTCAAAACAAAATTTTAAGTGATGTACATGATGCAAAATGCTAGTAATTAATTAAATGAACCTGCAGTTAAATTTTTATCTTGTAATATAAAAATGTATAATTTGAAATCAAAATCAGAACCAACAGTTTTAGTTTCTCAAACTGGAGACTTGAAACTAGAATTAATTCTCTCAATTTTGATTTCAGTTCTAGCAATCCAACTAATTTTCCCAATCAATTTTCAAAGTCAAATTTCTTTTTCGTTTCTAAATTGGTTTGGAATCAAAATCAAATTCTTGATTTCAAATAGGATTTGATTCTAGTTTCGAATCTCAATGGTTCCAAAAATTTCCTTTGGCTGATTCATTTTTAAATTTCAAACTGAAGCTTGGCTAGCTCTCTAATAAGAGCAAAAGATTCAACTAAAACAATATTATTTTGTCTTCAATTCATTAAATTTCGGGTTCAGTAAAAAAAAGAAAAAGAAAAGCTTATGCATTTAGAAGAAGGAACAGGAAGAAAGACATTTTACTGAAATGAATAAAAAAAACAAAGCATAAAACCATGATCTTCATATAAGGGCGTTGAGTGATGATTGTCATTGATATTAAATTGGTAATGTTTTTTTGTATTTCTTGGTTTGTGTTGATGAAGCTTAAACAGAGTATCTCTGATATGTTTACTTAAATATCATATCTTCATTTTGCTTCTTTGATTCAAAGAATGAAAACGAATCCATCTATTAAACGATTAAATAATTCTACTTCCTATTTTAAGCTAATTTTTTAAAAGAGCATCTACTGCATAGAGATTCTACGAGATTTGAGACAGAATCTCCGTATATCGAGTCTAAGTAATAATAACAAGTTATTTAGCTTGATTCTAGTATTAATAGTTGTCCTCTATTTCTACCAATCTCCTTCTAGATTGTTCGGGATTCTTCTCAACTCTTCCAAAACAAGGATTAGCATTGAGGCTATACCTTCTCTATGAACTGTGAGTAGGAATATATAGCATATAGTCAAATTCATGCATTGCATTTTATTTAATTCTTCTTTATAACATCTTAACGATTATGCAGTAATTTTGAGAAAATATAATCATGCTTACGTTTATTAATTATCAAATAGATTAACATAATACTGTGATATAGTTGCACTATGATATTGTTTGTGTTGTGCAGGAATGGCTTGGATCGAAGTGAAACCACTAGGTAAAATGGCCGGGTATACTGCTGTGGCTGGGGATCGGCCATGTCCTACAGCAGCGGGGCTATAGCCTTGCTGTAGCTGGCGTGGTTTGAGTGGTTCTGCCTGACTAAGGTCATCCAATGTGTGATTAGATGTTACTGTTTGATTGTCTGTGATGAGGCTTGTTTGACATTGTGTGAATGCTGGAATGACATCTTAGGACTAGTAATATATAATATACGCCTGACTATTTGGAACATATTTTATATATTACTATTCACTGAGCGAAGCACTCATCACCGCTTCACCTAATTTTTCAGGAAACCGGATCGCTACTTCGCAATGTGCCAGAAGCTCTATTTCCCTTCCTTCATGGAGCTAGTTAGTATGAAGCTTAGTTATTAATAGGTTCTTCTCGGTTGTACTCTTTTACTTTGTCTACTTTGTAGAATCCGCAATTACAGTAGAAACATAGTATGTGATAAATTGTTCAAGGAATTTATGAATTCTGAATTAGTAATTTGGATTTTAATATGAAATATATCGTGTTGAGTAATGAGTGACAAGTCCCATATAATGTTCTAAATATGGATTGAATGATAATGAAACAAGCCTTGGATATTGAGAAAAGGTTGAATGATTAAATTATTTCTGAATTGGGCCACAATATAATATTGTTTGAATGTACTCAAATGAACTTGCCAGATATATATCTAATTGGGCCTAATAAATTTTTTATAGTGTTATAGACTTAATACTAGGTTCGGAGGCATTAAATTATCTAGGTCTTAGTCTCGGTCCAGGTCTCGATAACATGTCGTGACAAACATGGTATGAGAGCATAAGTTAAGCGGATTGCCAAGTGCACAACAAGCTAGTCGCACTAGTAAGAGTATGATAAGAAGATGTTGATATATGATTCCTTCGAAAATTATTGCAGGCATAAACTCCATGCTATTGTGAAAAACACCTCAAAGTCATCTTTACTAAACTGAGAAACGAAGGAAAGAAAATCACCATACTCAACACCAGAAATACTAAAACCATGAAAACTCCAAGCAATTTGAGCATGAGAACAATTAACAAGAGCATGCAATGTGGTTTTAGGAGCTCCCCAAAAATCACATGCAATATTTAAATCAATACCACGACCCGCCAGTGCTAATTTAGATGGGAGAATATCATAACAGCACCTCCATAAAAAATGACAAAGTTTTGTAGGAACCTGCAATTGCCATAAAATTTTTTGAAAATCAGAAATTATTGGGACTCCTAGTGAACAAATTGAGAAGAAATAACACGATAAGCCAACATCACCGAATAGCATGAATCTTTAGTTCAATACCGAATCAAAAGATTATCATTGACATTATAAGACAATGGAATAGAAGAAATGAAACCAGCAATCTTAGGACCAAATAAACCATGGATTTGAGACATATCCCATGTTCAAGTATCCAAAAAAATTAAGTTCGCAACTCTGAGGTGTTCGAAAATAGGAAGAGCATTAAAAAAAGAAGAGCTGTGAGGAAGCCATGGGTCACACTAAACATTAACAAATAAGCCTGAACCGATACGCAATCAAAGTCTCGTGCAACACCTGTACCTCTTTAAATAAAGCTTCGATTACGGCTACGCTCCGCTCAAAGGAAATTCTCATTAGGAAAGTATTTAGATTGAAAATACGATAAAGAAGATAATTAGTGTTGGACAAAAGATGCTGGCAATGCTTACCCAAAAGAGTCAAGTTAAAGCTACAAAGATAATGAAAAGATAAGTCCCCCACCATCCTTTGCAGCATAAAGTCTATCCTAGCTAAGCCAATGCAACTTCCAACCTTACCAATAAGAATTCATAAGTTGTTGTAGCTCTTCAAGAAGAGAGACATGCAACAAAATAACGCTCATGCAATATGATGGTAAGAAGAACTTCTTTGCCCGCTTTTGAGAGTAACTTATTGTTCAATCCTTGAATCAGCCTACGAACACGATCTCTTAAAAAGAAAAAATACATTTCTTATCCCGCAGACAGAAAACCCAAGTACCTACCATGTCCAAGAATAGAAGAAAAATAAGTCCCAGCTGCAAGATGGCTATTAGAGCTAAAAAATATCCTAGCTTTTTTGATAGTTAATGGCCTGTCTAGAGGCCTACTCATAAGTATTCAGGATATCCTTAACAATTTGAGCTTCCTGATCTGTTTCCTTAAAGAAAAATAAACAATCATCCGCATAAACCAAATGAAAAATTCCAGGAGCAGAACGAGTAACCTTATAGCCATGTAAAATCCCATTAGTGTCAACCTTTTGAAAAAGTTTAGAAAGACCTTGGGCGTGGAGAATGAACAAGGCGATAATGGGCATCCTCGACATAGACCACGATCCAAAAAGATAGGACCTATATCAGAGCCATTAAATGAAATCCAATATGTAATTGAGGTTACACACTTCATAACTACCTGAACCAAAACTCATGGACACGCATAGCCAAAATAACCGCCCGTAAGTAAGACCATTCTATCCGATCATATGCTTTTGAAATATCCTCTTTAAGTGTAGTAGTACCTGAATACCCGACTCTTTAGTTTTCATATGATGGATGAGCTCAAACGTAACAAGAACATTATCTGAGATCAAACGGTTTATTATTATTATTATTATTATTATTATTATTATTACAACATAAATTATTTTTTAGAATAATTATAAATTTTTATTTGCACATATATTTTCATGCCTGGACCGAAAATGATAGTTTAAAAAAAATTTTGAATAGTGACAACCTTAAATTTTAAACTCATAACCTTAGACAATAAACTTTATTTGAAAATACAACTGAATGATAAATGTCATTATATAAAATGCAATAATCAACTAAATTTGTTTATTACAATGATATATTTTTGAAATGTTTACAATTATTCATTTTTATAAATTTCAGTTAGAGCATATGTTCTTATCAGTTCGTACATTAATTTAAACAAGGCATATTCAAAGACGTGTGCCTTCAATACTCAACTTATGAGTTCAAGAATTAATTATTGAACTCTTTGTAGATGAAGTGAATAAGAAATCTATTTTTCTGAATGAGCTAATAAATATAAAAGAATGTTAATTAATGAATATATATGAGTTGAACTCATTTATATAGTTACAATTTGAATATAGTCACTCTATTCCATTTTATTTATCATTATAGAAAATATTTTTTATTCCCCTCCTTTAGTCATTTTAGAAAATTACTTATTTTGTATTCTACTCATAATATAATTGTTCCTCAATTACTCTATTAATTTAATTGAAGGGAAAAATAGATATTTTATAAATTAATTTTTATAGAATTTAGACAATTGATTTTATTCCTTAATTCATGTGCTAGTTAAAAAACAAAGCTTATTTTGGAACGGAGGCAATAATTGACATGTATAATATATAATTGTTATCAAGCTAGTTTAAGAAGTCAAAAAGATGATGATGGTACTCTCCAAGCCGTATGCCACCACATGGAGTGATCAAAAAATTATTTGATATTAGAAAATTTCTTAATAAAAGGGAAATTAAATTGTTTTAAAAGAAAGTAAAATTCGCTTTTTAAAAGACAAAATATTTTTCAAACATGAATAAATTTATTACAATTTTATAAACACATATTTTTATTAATTTATTGATCACTAGTAGTTATCATAATTAATCACCGCTAACCACTGGTCACCAACCACCATCATTAATCAATTAATAACTATTATAATTTATTATTTTTTTCTCGTAACCATAAATTTTTAAAATTAATATAAAGTTACTATAACATTCCAAATATATGTCTTTGTAGCTTTATAAATCATAATTTACGATATGTTTTTTCACTAACTTTTAGTATTATAACTAAATTACATTAATAAATTGTTTGGAAAATATGTTATAAAAGTAAGTTATTTAAAAAAAAAAAACCATATTGGTCTTTTTTTTTTCCTTGTCCTGAATAAAATGAAAGAGATAAGAATACATAACTATTAACTTTGATGAATATGAAAGAAGCATGAACAATAAAGGCATGCAATTACTACTAAGGATGTAAACCAGAAGCTAAGGACTGTTTGTCTGTGACTTAAGGAAAGGGAGACAAGACAAGGAACTGTTGTAATCAGTCGCAGTATTTTGAATTTGGGAAGGCTTTATATGGAACTTTTGTTGAAAAGCAAACATTGTTTGCGTATAAAATTACATTAATATAGAATGGACGAACATCTTTTTAATGTTGTGTATGACAAGTCTTTGTTGCTGAAAGCAACTAAAGTCTGATATGGCAGGTTCAATCTTGCAATGAAAGGATACTTCATGTAACAAGATACACAAAGCTATATGATTTTTATGAGAATACAATTTTCTTAGAAAAAACTATTATATTACTTGAATAATCTATTTATGATTATTCGATTTGAGAGTTTTATATTTCAATTTAAAATTGTTAATCTCCTTAGTCTAATAGTAAGGCCGAGGCTCTAAAATTAAAAGGTCTCGAGTTTGAATCTTTTCTCTTGTTTCTTTTAATATTTCCAACTTATTAAAGATAGTTCTAATATTAGAACATTGTTTTGCTGGGTTAGAATTATTTTATATTTTTCTTTTTAAAGAAAAATATTTTTTAAAAATATCATGATGGATATTGATGGAGATCAAATTAATGATATTAATAAATCATTAGTTTTATTTTAAAGTAATAAATAAACCAATGATGTCATTAAAATTTTTCAATTTCATTCTTTCAGTTAATATTATTTTTTTTTTAAATAATAAAAAGTTATATATCCGGGCAATGCGTTAACACTTCGCACATCTTCAAATAAGCGAATTTTGGAGATGAGCTTGTTAAAATGGAGGAAGTTCTTTCTCCGCTTATTCCTTTTGTATTGTTTGATATTTCCTCAAGGTTTTAATGATATTTATTCACATCTAAAAAAAATTAAATAAATTGAAAAGGACATTAATTGATAGTCACTGAAATGGACAAAACCTTGAGCTTACTTTTTTTCCTTTTTTTTTTTTAAAAAAAAAAATATTGAGCCTATTTTTATTTGTACTCGTTTAGTTTTACTTATTTAAGTAAATATACTTTAACTATATATTTTTTATTAATTTATATATATAGTTTTCTATTTGTTTTTTAAATATGATGAGTCACTGGAAATGGTACCACAACCTTGAAGCTTACTTTTGTTCCTTTTTTATTTTTTAATAAAAAAATAATGATTGATCCTAGTTTTTATTGTACTCGTTTAGTTTACTTATTTAAGTTATAATATACTGTTAACTATAATATTTTATTAATTTCTATATATAGTTTTCTATTTGTATTTTTTTTTATAAGTGCAGTAAATATAGATATTTAATGATGTGGCTAAAAACTTTTATTATAAATTATAATATTATAAATAATTTATATTGCTAAAAATTTAAGATTTTCATAAAATAGAAAAAAAAAAATTATGAAATGGTGGTCACCGAGCCACTTCAAGCAAAGGTGGTCTTCAGTTATGGATCAACCCGAATGCTCCAATCTTCTCCC